TTTTTCTAATTTTGTCTTTATGTTAAATTTTAGTTTATATTATTTTTTATAAGAAAGAATGACAGCATAGTTTATGATGTTCGAGATGCATGTAATGTAGACATAGTTGATAGGTATATGAATTACACATGACAAACCTTAATAACTCAAATGCCTCGTCGTCTAGTTGAGATGATCTATGATAGTAAGTTAATGGGGAAAAAAATCTTCACGAGTATTTTAACACCGTCAATTAATTCTGTTAAAATATATTAATGAATCAAGATCGAGAAAATGAAGTTTTTCAATAATTGACTCAAATTCATTGTCGAATCATACTCAGCAAAATATGGAGGGTACTTAAGATAGAATGAACTGATATGGTATTTCACAGTAAAGTCATAGATGGAATTGTCATGATACGACTTATTAGTAGATTCGTATATCACCGCGACATGAAATATATGTAAAAATTATGAAAATATCCATTCGGTATGTCATAATAAATGGTAGAAAATTCGGATCAAACCCACATTTTTCTTACTATTTAGCCCCTGTTCGGTGGCCTTAAAAAATATGGTTTTGAATAGAATTTTTTTAAAGAATGTGTAATTAAAAAGTAAGGAAAAGTTTTTGAATTTACATGTAGAATATTTTATTGTTTGAATATGTGATTGAAAATGAGTATGAGAAATAAATTAAAGTCAAGAGAATCAAACATGGGTCGTAGACTTAGCATGTTGTTACATAGGAAAATAGATCTAACCTTTAGTGTACCACTAACAGCTTCTACAATCTCTAACCGCCATAATATTGATGGTTGTAATCTTGTCAAGAAATATGTCATTCGATACGAAGATCAAAGTTATATTACTTTTCGTCATATGTTTCACTGGTGAACAATTGATGTCCACTAAATCCAAATATAGCATAATAATTAAAGTGTTGACTAAGGGTCAAGAACCCAAATCCGAAATTAATAAAAAAAAAAAATACCAAGAAGAAGAAGCAGCGGCTGATAGTTACAGTGTCACTAATTAAGCATAAGGCTCAGAACAATGTTTCTCGACCTATTATTAGCGGTGTCAACGAGCCGAGCCCGAGCCTGAAAAAAAAGCGGCTCGGCCCGAGCTTTTTTGACCGAGCTTTTTTCGGTCCGAGCCGAACCGAGCCGGGCCCGACCAAAAAAAAGAGGCTCGGCCCGAGCTTTTGG